AGTTAGAAGTTGCTTTATCTACGCTAGTAATTATGAATTTTCTCTGCAATAATCTTATCTCATTCCAGTCTAGCTTAGTAGTCTCTTTATTACTACAATAATTAGTAATTAAATTGATTAAATCACTACTGATTTGTTGAAAATTAACGTTTTTAGCTATTTTAGAGATTTCTTTACCAAATTGTGCAATCATTTTATATTTTTACATCTTCTTGAGTGTAATTCAAACTAGGTCGGAACTTAGTGCCTAATTTGAGTATTTCATAGGTGTTTGGGAAGTGTTTAGAAAGTGAATTACTATCGCCCGTAAGCACGTGTGTTTGTCCATTGTGGTTAACACTATTATTTTGATTCTGGAAATCGAAACAATTATTACAGTGAGTAGAATTACGTTTAATATGATTGTTTCCAAGTTTATTGAGAAATTTATTATAGTTAAATAACAATTGACCTAAGGTTGGGTTATATTCATAAGTTATTTGGAAGTCAGTGTTGAATTCTATTTTTGCTTTATTTAGGTATTCTTTAATAATTCTTTTACAATTAATTCGTTCTATACTTGGTTCTAGATAAGGGACTTTTATACGTATTTTAGGATGTTTCTTTTTTTGGTTTTACTTGGTTTTCGATTTGACTGTACTTATGGATAGAGGCTTTTGCAAAAGCTTTGACAATTGGGTTATGATGTTCTAAGTAAGGTGTTAATTTTCCGTACATTTTTTTAGGTAAATTGTGTGTAATATTTCTAATTTCGTTAGCTTTAAGTTGTGTTAGTTTGAATTGATTGAAATCAAAATTATAGGATTTAGTCTTACGTTTGTTTTTGCGTATACCTCTGTTACGTGGTGGTGGTTTAATGGACTGCCTGCTAACTTCCCGCTTGGACTGATGGAACACCGGTGGATTATCACAAAGGACTGTATCCTGGCCCTGAAAAATATGTCTTCGGGGTAAGTTCACTTCTCAAACGATGTAGAATAACTTTTTTTAGATGCTACACGACGAATCGTGCGAAATCGACTGGGAAGGCTGGGGCACCATGGCCATCTCGGCACGCTACATCTGCAAGAAGGGGCTGGATTGGCTGCACTGAACTGTTGAAAGTTTTTTGGCGAATAAATGACCGTCTTTTTTTGAGGATGCTATGCCATCAAAAAGAGCGCAATACCACAAACAAAAACTCATGAATTGAGCTGCTAAGGCGAGTACTGAAACAAAACACATTTTAGCTTAAACGACCTACGTAGCCCGATTACTTTTCATACGCTTTATGATTGCTATGCTACGGTTCAGTTATCAGATTGCTGTTACGGCACCTTGAATGTGCCCAAAATGCGTTGAAGCGTTCTCAAAATGCTAGAAAGGGCTAGAATACCTGCTGCAGTCAGGGCATGGACAGCTATGTAAATGTAACTTGTTGATTGTTGATGTAAACTTGTAGCTTTTAGACAAACTTCAGTTGCCGAAAACCGCTCGGAATTGGAAGCTAGTTTTTGGATCCGTGCAGGCCTCAGAATAATGCCTTCTAACTACTAGGAGCTTAATATTAACAAAATATAACAACTCATTCACCTATTTACTTTTGGCCCACATAAAAACCGCTCGTAATTTGCAGCCGGCGATAGTATTTTACTGGAATTCAGAAGATCCTTCAAAGGACTGTATGGATCCCAGATCGGGTTTTCAGAAAGGATGCTCGATCAACAACTATGAAATATAACAAATCCTCGCTCTTATCTAATTTTGGACCCTCCAAAAAAACGACTCGGAATTTGCAGCCGCTAGCACTTCCCGGCGCCCCTTTCCCCCTTTGCGCCTTTTCAACCAAAATGTGCCTGATCGTCTGGGCCCTCTACCCTTTGCCCACTATCTCGTCGGCTCACAGGTCAATCGGCCAGGCCCGGCACACACGCACCACTCAGCCCGCACAAACCCCTACGATTTCAGGGCTTTAAAACTAGGCATTAATGTACAATTTTTATACCTTTTTAAACTAATCTGAATGTACATTCGATTCTCTATCGAATGAGCTGAAAATTGTAGCTTTAGCCTTGCTAAAAAGCACCCCTTGTTCGCTCCCCAAAATAGGCTAAAATTGCTCAGAATTTGGGATCAATTTTCTATCGATTACTCGTCATTTCAGATCGAATTTTTGTAGGAAATCAATAGTATACCAAATTCCCTATAACATCTACTAAAAATCTGCCCGAAAACCAGATTATAAAAGGCACCCAAATTTACTTCCCCGCCCTGCAAAACCCCGCAAATTCCCGCCCCAAATTGAGCGCGGGAAAGTTGGACGACACAAAAATCTTTGATAGATTCTTTCGCTGTAGGTATACAGAAATTTATTAGATTTAAACTGACGTTTTTACAGTTTTTAATATCGCCTTGGCCGTTGCCCAATCCCGAACACCCCCGACGGCCGGTCACCCAAAAAATCGATATTCGCCCACATCGCGTTCCCGCGCCACCCCCCGGGGGATGTCCCCTTGAAATGTGATTTGCATATCTAATTGGTGGGCAATGGCCCTAAAAGTATATTATTTTACTTAAGACCAGGGTTGAAAAGCCGCTTCGCGACTTTTCAACCCTGGCCCCGTCTCGGACCCCATACTATTCGGCCCTTTGCATAATGGTCCTCCATGCAGAAGACAAAAAAAAATGAAAAACAACCCTTTCTGCCTCTTTATATAGGCGACGGCCCACTTCCGGTCTATGCTAATTATTCCTAACAAAGAGGTTTTTACAAAAACCTAAATTTAATAGCGAAAATGACTAATTTTTAAAAATCTAAGATGTGTGCAGTCATCCCGAGACCATTACGCACCTAATGACGTATCATACGTAGCCCAATACCCGTCCCTTCTTGAGATATCCTCCGGACAGACAGACGGAAGTGGATGCAAAGTGGCACACACACACAAACACTATTTTTTTATATATAGGGTTGAAAACCGCTTCGCGGCTTTTCACCCCTGGACCCGTTTAGGTATAGAAAATTTTAATTTTAGGTACTGAAAATTTGACTTTACATAGGGCTTGCCGAATGCCGATCACCAAAAAATGAAAAGCGTACCCTCACTCCCTTTTTATAGGCTACGGCCACTTCCGGTCAATGCTAATTGCCTCCTAACAAAGAGGTTTTTCGATATATTTACAAAAACTTAATTTTAATAGCGAAAACAGCCGATTTTCCTAAATCTTATATGTGTGCACTCATCTCGGGACCCTTACGCACCTAATGACGTATCATACGTAACTTTAAAACTTTCCCCTGAGGCTGTAGGTGCGGTACATACTTACGGAAGTTGCATGCAAATATACACACACACACACACACACACACACACACACACACACAGACACTATTTTTTTATATATAGTAGGATTCATCAAGATTAAATTTTCCATTAGTTGAGTTTGTAATTCATCGAAAATCTGATGATCCAATCTCGAAAGATCAAAGGTCGAAACCGGTCTAGCTTTTTGAATTTCTCCATTTTTCGTTACTTCTATACCAATTCAAGCGTAGTTTTTTATCAAGTAAATCGTCGGTGCGTTCTTTATTTTTGAATGACCGTAATCCGCGTTTGACTTAATCCGAGAAGCCGCATTTTCGAGGCGTTTTTTGATGATCTTGCGTTCATATTCTGGGTTCTAAACTTCACGATACCTTTAAATGGTTTTCTCTTGTATTTACTCAACTTCTTCTTAAAATAGTTGATGCAACTGCCGGAATCCACGCTAACAAGGAGTCGCTTTTAGGTGCTTTTGGAGTTTCGGGACGGGACCTAGCTAGTTCGATAGAGAAAAAAATTGTGAGCAAGATCCCGTTTTCAAAAAGTGCTGATCGATGAAGCTGTTTTAGAAAATTTAATTTAATTAAAAATGTTCCGGTATCCGGACCCTTGTGGTGATTTGAGGTGATTTGCGGCGGTTGATCACCCCCGCCACATGAGGACTTCATGCGCCTTGCATCTCGTCCTCTGCATGGCCAAGTGGCTAGTGCGATGGCCTACGAAGTTTTTTTGACCTTTTGCCACAAGTTCGATTCTTATTTACCGTTAACTCTTTGCTTTTTTGCCAACTAAAATTTTATGGACCGACAACGGGTTCAAGAACCAAAAAGCAAACGGTTAGCCAGCGCGAAGATTCGAACCCCGAGGCAAAAAATGTTAAAAAGTTGGTAGGCAAGCGCGCTACCAATACGCCAATGCAACCTGTGACGAAGGCCTTGGCGGAGGGTTATGAATGGTGCCCGGCCAAACCCCGACAACGACATGAACCGAGGAAATGGACCGAAAAAAACGCGAACTTTAAATTAAATTTTCTAAAACAGTTTTATCGATCAGCACTTTTTGAAAACGGGATGTTGCTCAGAATTTTTTTCTCTATCGAACTAGCTAGGTCCCGTCCCGAAACTCCAAAAGCACCTAAAAGCGACTCCTTGTAAGCTTCATGGAAAAATGACAAAACGTCCAATTTTTGGCTAATCCCCACAATCCGATGATTTTCGTCCAGTTTCTAAGATTTTTTGGCGATTTTCCAACCTCCGTTTTTTGCCTTTTCAATTTCCCACTTTCACCGCGAACATAATTGCCCTGACGCGTAACTACTGCCCTTTCTTTTCGTCTTTTCACAGGCTTTTTTTATCGCTTCAATTGTCCGGAAAACTGCACGTTCTCTTGGGCTTTTGTAATTTGTTGCTTCTTGTCGCCTTCAATTGTTTCTTGCTTAATTTTATCGTACTACGATATAATCGCGTTATCTGAATAAATGGTAGTAGAAATAGGTTTTTGAAATTTCCTAAGAACCCCATGACGTTAATTATACCTTAACGCCTCTGAGCCTATTTTCTGCTTTTAAGGTCCAATAGTTTATATTTGTTTTTATCAACGACCGCTCTCTCACTCGGTTTCGAAAATACAGTCCTTATCACACGTTATCGATGCCCCCCCCACACAAAAAAACTTTATGCTCTTCTAGGGGCGTATAAAATGAAGCGGAAAGATCGGAGGGAGTCCGAGGACGTCAAGCCATCGACGTCTTCCAAAAATGAGAAGGAGCCCGCGTCGAAGAAGGGCCGGAAATCGAAGGGCGACAAGGAGAATCATCGACGCAGCAGGCGGAGCCCCTCGGTCAGTAATGATAATGAGAATACGGTGGGTTACGGTGGAAAAAGGGCAATTTTTAGTTTGATGGAATGCGAAAAAAACTAAATTTACAATATGCGGCTAGTTATCAGGCTTTTAGGATTTTTCAAACTTCCAAAAATACGTTTAAATTATTTAAAAAGCCCTACGAAGTCCAATTTACCTGGCTTTAGATAGTTCCGGAGATCGTTTTCTAAAAAGCGCCTCAGCTCTCATAAAACATCGTCTTTAGGAAGATGGCTTCGACGCGAAGGAGTACAAAACCTCCTACTTCCTCCCGCTCACCAAATTGAACGACCACATCACGTGTCAGATTTGCAAGGTTTGCTTCACTTTTTTATCGGTGTAATTTGCAGTTTGTAGCCAAAATCAAGATTATGTCAAGCTCTAAAAGTACCACTTTTTTAGGGCTACCTCATCGATGCAACTACGGTTATCGAATGTCTACACACTTTTTGCAAATCGTGTTTGCTGAAGCATTTGAGGTCAGTTCTACTAGAGAATGGCTTTTTTATCTTAAAAACTCAATGCCTAGGCAATCTAGCAGAGATTCTTGACGACCAAAATCACTTTTGACCGTTTTTTAGGACAAGGACAACAATTGCCCCCAGTGCGGCGAGCTGATTCACCAGTCCCACCCGTCTCACTATGTCGCCTTTGACCGCACGATGCAGGATATTGTTTACAGGCTTGTGCCAGGTAAGTTTCCTAAATTTTAAGGCTTTAATAATGCTATTTTTTAAGATAAAATAATTATGCTATGAAAATAAGAAAAGTATGAAACACTCCATTTCAGGAATGTTCGCCGAGGAAAAACGGAGAAGATACGATTTCCTGAGACGGCAAAATAAAAAGCAGGGCATTATCGATGAGCCGATGCCCGGAAGAAGGTCAGTTTTTGGAAAAAGAGCTGTACAGCCTGCGATTCGTAGAACTGTCAATTGTAGAATTTATCGAATTTGTAAAATTGAAAAATTCATCTTTTTTAGGAAGAAGTCATCGATGTTGGGCCAATGTATAAATGCTATCAAACAAAACCGGAAGTGTCACATCACCGCCAAGGGGACCAGGTACATTATTAAAACAAAAGAAAACTAATGAGATAACACTAAAGAATTAATGTAAAAAAGTTGAATACCGTTCGAAATACGCTAAATACGTAATTACAAACTATAAAAGGCCAATAAAACCATTTTTAGACAATGGTAGAACTCTCACCGTCGCCTGGCCTTGGAAAAATCGGCCGTAATATCGTTAGACTACATTCCATGGCCACGATAAATACGATAAAACGGTTGGTTTTAATCGGAATTTAAAAGTATCGAAATAAGTTAAAAACGATTACATTTTTCTAGATACCTGGCGCTATGCCTCTGGAACGACGTGGCAAAGTATCAAGAATTGGATGTGTTCTGCAACAACGAGCTGATGGGCAAGGATTTCTCGATGAAGTTTATCCGGATGACGAGGTTGGGGAAAAGCTTAAACTAAACGAAAACGAGGAGAAGCAATATATTAAGCTATTCTGAAGCGCGTTAAGTGCATATTTAACAAAAATATGTTTTCAGGTGGCGCCAAAAAGCCGCCGACGCCCCGCTCGAGTTAGAATATCGACAGCATTTGGATTTTTAAATACCTAAAAAGTATTTATTGAATTTTCTGACGCCTTTTCGATGAATATGGGTCCCGATGAGTTATCCTCACACTTTCTTTCTTCTGTTCTTATTCTTCCTGCTGCTTTTCACGACTCAACATTGCCTCGACCGATCTCGTCCTCCTCACCCACCCCCTCGGCCTTTGATGAAGTGTCTTTTTCGCGTTTTTCTCCTTGCTAGGATATATGGTATTATAAATTTTTCATTATATAAAATTTGCTTAAAGCTAAAAAGCGCACCGGCAGTTTATTAGACAAAAAATTTTTAAACTTTGAAAAATCGAACTTTCGGCAAAGATCGGCTTTTTTATCGAAACATTTGTAAAGTTTTCTCAATAGGAATAGTAAAAAAACCATTTAAAAACGCTGCCACTATTTATATGTGAAAAATGAGATCCTATGAAAAAAAACTTGGTCCCCCCGATAATGCGAAAGAATCGACACCGGGAAAGCTCCCAAATAAAACCCGGGACGGGTCGGCGGAATTTTGTTTTCGAGCTCAAAAGCTGCAAAAAGCTATTTAGCAAACCAAATGAAGGTATATAGAAGGTAAAGAAAGCCCGGCGCTATTTCGGAATAGGGGACCCATTTTGATTACTCTAAAAACCATTTTTTCTGGTGTAGGTTTGCGCGTTTGTTCCGAAAAACGGTGTCCCAGCCCGTAAAAACGTACATTTGTACAAAAATATTTTATCTTTATAGGATGTCGTTAGGACATAAGACGGGAGGTCTTGGCTTGGCCAGCGCACTTGCTAGGCTACCCACTTGGGGTACTATATTTCTGGCTTGAACTTGACTTGACTGGAACACACATGCGCTAAGTATATGCTAAGTGTTGGAACACACACGCTTCCGTGTTTTAATAACAGCTTATCGCTACCTTACTTTACGTGACAGGGGCGGAGAGCCGGCCTAGTTTACAGGTGGGCTCTATACTTAGGTTAACGTAAGTCAGGGTCGCCTAGGCTTGGTCCCAATGAATCTAAGATCGGGCTTACTAGCATCCTACTATATATAAAAAAAATAGTGTTTGTGTGTGTGTGTGTGTGTGTGTGTGTGTGTGTGTGTGTGTGTGTGTGTGTATATTTGCATGCACTTCCGTTTGGATGTTCCGCACCTACAGCCTCAGGGAAGCATTTTTTCGGTAGGGAAGAAACGTCATAGGGTAAAGAAGGGGCCGGAATCGACTGCACACACATAAAAGTTTTGAAAAACTTCGATTTTCGCTATTAAAGTTAGGTTTTTGTAAAAATTTTGGCTTCCCTCTTTGTTAGGAAGCAATTAGCATACGGCGGAAGTGGAAATGGTTTATAAAAAGGGAAGAGAGGGCGCGATTTTCATTTTTTGGTGAGCGGTTTTCGGCAAGAATTATGCAAAGTCAATAACTTCATCGATCCTAGACGGGGCCAGGGTTGAAAAGCCGCGAAGCGGTTTTTCAACCCTGGTTTAGCATTATTTTTGCATACGTTTAAGGTTCAAAAACGGAGCTAGGAGTGTATTATAGCCAAAAGTCGAGCCTGCGCCGCTAGGTTCCCTAGCAGCCCATTAAACTGTAATCAAATTTTTTTGTGTGAAAATGTTAGGTTTTAAAGTTAGTATGGTGTTTATTCGGAACCAGCGCGCAAAACTATCCAGGAAAACATCGCACAAACCCCAGCCTTGGCATAATAAAAGTGGGTCCCCTATTCCGAAATAGCGCCGAAAGCCCCTCTAATTCAAGATTAACCTTTAAAAATAGCTTAACCTGTATACAAATTAACGATTTTCTATGAGAAGAGAAATGCTATGAGAATGTAAGAAAAACGATTTACTATAAGGCACGCTAAACTAACAATGTAACCATATAAAGCAAAGGAAATACGAAATTTTCCGTCCCAATCAGCGTTTCTAAAACTCGGAATCCGTTTTCTGCTAGGTGGTGGCAGACGTGCGAGCTCAAGCAAAGCCAAAGCTTTCCTCTCGAACGCATTAGACGTCATTAGTACCGATTCGGAGCCCCGGGAAACCCGAACTCCGAACCCCCCATAGTTGGTTGGTGAGAGTCGGAGAAAGCTGGCAGCAGCCGAGCCGAGTGGAGGCCCCAAAAAAGTGTTGATGAATGCTTGTTTTTGCGTGGAAAAGCCACAGCGAACTCGGCCATCCTTGCCAGTCCGTTCCACCTACACCGACACCTCAGCCAGGTCGGACAGCGCGTCGAATTTCACGTCAAGACTTGGTCGCCATCTTCTCTAAGAGCGTCACTTTCAATTATCGTCATATCCCGGCGACATCTTAATAAATCGCAACAAGAAAAGACTTTTAAAACCCTCATCTTAATCCTAACTATCACTACCTCGATGGAGAAAAACGCAATATTTCGGCTGATCATATTTTTGGCTACGTTTTGCGGTTTGGCAGTGGGTAAAAGTGAGTTTTACGCAGGTTTTCCTATGTTTCAACCTTTCTTGAGGCTTCCGAACGTCTAAAATCTCTCAAAATAGATTTAATAAGCACCAAAACCTGACTTTAATAATTTATATTGTTTAACGAAAATAGTTTCTAAAGTTTCTAAGCTAAATTAATTATTAAAAGTAAGCAAAATACCCAGAAATAATGTCGAAAATCTTCAACAAAGCTTGAAATAAGTTAGGAACTAACGTACAAACTATACAACGCCTACAACCAATTTTTTTCTATCTCTATCGAAACTCAAACTTCTAGCAAAAAAGTTATTAAGCCCTAAACTGTCTAACTAAATATGTATTTTATAAAAACTCATTTCTAAAGAACTGTCGACCCGAAAAACAGGTTTTCGCCTTATAATTTGTATTCTAGTCGTACGGGTCTATAACTGTGATCTCTACTGCGGCGATGGGCAATATTGGCCGTTGACGCAGTGTTGCGAGTAAGTTCGCGTTCTTGAAATTTCTACGTTACTTACTACGATACGTATACGTACTTTTCAGACGGCACGACTTCTTCGGCAAGGCCGGCGGCGAGTGCCAGGGCGCGAAGGCCTTTTGCGATATCGGATTATAAAAATTACAGAATAAAATATGAACCTGAACTCGAAAAATCCCGGGTACGACCGGGCAGACAGTACAAAGAAAACAAAAGTACAGGGCGCTCCCCAAACTCAAAGTCACGCCCCGATCAGCTGGCTAATTTTGCGAGGGTTAAAGAGTGCAATTTTGTCGCCATATAAAATTCGGTGCGTGTTGAAATGGCTAATATAAATAAATATAAACAAGCATAGAACGGTATAAAAGTCCTGGAAAAGTTCTCGATTTAGCGCAAATCTAACAATGAAAACCCTAATTTTACTATACCTATTGGTCGCTGTATGTTTTTCAAATGCCGCCCTGGAAATGGGATCATTTGCTAATCCGGAAAGTCAACCTATGCAGAAAATAGAGCCAAAAATGTCGGGGTTTTTTTATAAAATAGTTTTTCCCTAGCCTAAAGGCTTCATTTTCATGATTTTTGCGCATTTTCAGGAAGCGACACATTGGCCCGGAATCTTTTGTAGCAACTACGGGACGCCGAAATCCACGGTAAATTTTCTTTTTGCTCGCTCGCCCAGAACAAAAATTAATATTATATGCTACTAAATTATGAATATTACTAAATTTGTTTCAATTTTCAAATCTAACTGACAATTTAGATTTTAAAAGCATCAACACAATACCGGACCACGCGAAAACGTCAATACCGATATCGTAGTTGGTTGCGTTATGGATAAATGTTTCTTCAGCAACAAGTTAAGGTTTCGAAATTTACAAAATAGAAATTTGCACCGGTATCAGGCATAAAGGCAACTAATCGAGGTGGCGGGGTGGGGGAAAAGGCAAACCACAACATTGGCAACCTAACAACGGGCGGTATAGTGTATGTGCCAAAGTGGAATAGGCAAGTGAAAATTGGGGCAAAATATCATAGATTTTTTTCATAGAATTCGTTCTTCAAGCGGCAGGTATCCAACCTGAAAAAAACGTGTTAAACCCGAATTCGAGGAAAAAGCTTACATAAAATTGACCGAGGGCTCGATTGCAGGGCGGTAGTGTGCCGGTAGATCTGAAAAAAGCGTCATTTTTCTGAAATGCTAAAAACCTTAGAATTTGCTTCCAATACGCGCATGGCGAACGTGTAGGGCACGTCGAGGATGCAGACGGACGCGTCCTGGCCATTTACACGAGGATCACTAAAAATTATAAATTTAAAGTAAAAAACCAAAAGAA